TAATTATTAGGAAAATATTTTGGCGTCCATTCACTTGAAAAATGAGCGACATTAAATTACTGAAGATAAAATTAATAGTTGTTGCGAAAAATTTTTAAAGCGGGAGTAAAAATTAGGGCAGTAGGGTTTACAAATGTTTTCTCTCAAACAATTTTCTTGATCTTTTGTACTGTTTATGGCACATCATGTTACCATGGTTATATGGTTATCTATAATTTGTTGGTTACAAATAACAAAAAATTTCCGTTTATAGGTTAGAGTATAGGATCACAAGCAAGATGATGTGCACTCTATGGGACCTCTTAAGTCTCGAGAAATTAAGTGAAGCCTTAAGAGAATTGAGTTCACGAAGGGTATGTTTTTTTTGCCATGCTTAATAGTCTTGATGTTAGCATTTTTTCATGCAAGTTCATGTTGGGAACACTAAATGTATCGTAAATGTATTGGGGATGATAAGCCACTTTAAAAAATTCGTATCTGAAATTCGAAATTTGCATTTTAATATTAATAATTTCATATAACTATGAACTTCATTGTTTGAAATTCTAATCTGAGAATATCGTAATCGCGCTTTTACCGATGCTGCACGGAGGAACATACGGAGCGTAGTCTCCATTGATGCAGTCATATCTATCTACCACGATACATGCCCAGAGAAAACCCTGAGGAGTAATTAAAACAAACTGTTTATTTGTGCGAGATTGAGCATTGGTCGCAAGCAACTACACGAGAACCAAGCGCTAGATTAACAAATATTCTTAGCAGAGATTGAATTTTTATATTATCAAAGAAAAAATAGCATGAGCCGAAAAAGAACATTTAACTCACTCTAATTATGCGTTATTTGAAAGCAACTGACATTATTTGTTGTTATACAATGCACTATAATTTACCAACCTTTTTTCAAAACACGTTTTCAGCCATATGTTGGCACCTTGTTTTCTTTATTTGTTGAGTCTTCAAAGCATTTGTTGATTCTTGTACATTTTCATGATCTGATTATATAACATTTAAAATGACTATATAGACAAAATAACAGTTTTGACCAGTTTCGTAATTTCTTTATACACTGCAAAATTTTTTATCTTAGATATTTTTCTTACGGACATTCTTTCAAAATAGCTGCCATTGCAAAGTATCGTCGCGTCTCTGCCCGATACATCACGCTTCTTGGAATTCATTTGTATTTTTATTATAGTAATAACATGGTTACCTCGGGATCTTTTGTTATCACAGGGACGTTTACTGACGTACTTAGGAAAGTCCTAAGTACGATAATACTTCGAGGGCAAGTTTAGCATGTGGAAAGTCCTTTTGCTCGACTGTTGTTATTTATCGTTAATTCTTCAGAGTCAGACACGAGCAAATCTTTCGCCTTATAGTTCAAAATTCTCAAACTTGCGTTATTGCAGGCCTTATAGTGCCTCAAAATTTATGTCGTTGAGTGGTAACAGACATCGTTTTTCCCTTGCGTCAGAAACTTTCTTGTCACTTACTTGGAAAAACCAGTGATGAACTATCAATAACTTTAACAATAATTAAAATACAATATGTATTTGCAACGCAAATTCATGCACAGGTTCACTGAGCCAATTCAAAAACGTGTAATTATTATATATTCACTTAATAAGTACTGTAAATAATTAATATATTGAGGGAAGCACATGCACGTTTGAACACGTCTATAATTGAAAATGTTTTTGTTTTTGTTAAATGTTTTACAACTAGTAATAACAAAAATAATAAAACAACATTGAAAGTCACAAGACGTCAAGCCCTTGCGTACATACCTTCGTTTAGGTACTGCACAATAATCTGTTGCAGTGGCATCATTGATCATTCCTTCAAAATATTAAATGCTGTTTTACTTGGTGAGCAATTAATCAGTTCCAGTTTTGCAAGAACTTTTGCTGTGATGCCTAATTCGCACCAGAATATTTCGTAAATAAGTAACGGATTTTTCCAGTCCAGCTTATGTACTAATGTACAGTGGCGGATCTAATGTACTTCAAAATAAATTTTAGCTCTTCGATTTTAAATTCAAATTACATTCAAAAAAACACTTTTGGTTTTTAATTTTGAAAGAATATAATTTTACCAATGATAAGCCTCTAAGGTGTTTAGAAATGTAAATATACGCCAAAATGTGCTGCAGTAATTTATTTATACGTAGTCTGGTCCGCGACTGGTATGTCATATGTATATTTGTTCCGTTTGAGAGTGGGAGTTAAATACCTTCTCATTGATCGATTAGAGCTAATCCTTGTGATCTAGAAACAGAGTTTATATTATCTTTTCCATCTGCGTTCAAGTAAAACCCATTTCTTACTTCATTTCGGTCAGATTTGGTGTCTAAGTTGCTCATTTATGCTTTGTGATTGAACGTTTATAGCATTAAACCATCAGTACGTAATATGATCATGATAACATTGAATACAAAAAGTATCAAATACGCAGGCTTTGCAAGCGATCACAATGGTCAAGAGTACAACGTTCGTGCAAACGGTAATACTGGAAAAAAGAAACCAAATGAATTTACTTCTGCTTTTGCGTTCGCGAATTACAAGATGTAATCTATGTAGATTTAAATAAAGTCAAATGACAATGAAACATGATGCGTGTCAAGAATACTTCCAATGTAGGAAGTCTAACAGGCTGCAAGCCTTGAAGTCTACATTAAACTTAATTAACACAGAATTGTTAAAAATATATTCAAATGCTCTTAGAAAAAATTAACAAAAAAAACACGACTCGTTGGTCTAGAAATAGTAATACAAGATGTCCTACAAATTTAAATCGATAAAAGTCATAAGCTTTTCGATTTATGCGAACTATTTTCTGATTTCGTGTATAAAACAACATTAAATCAGTTAACTAAAGCTACCATTGTTTGTACTATGGCTGCTGAGATGAATAACTACAGTCTAACATATGCATTTCTCGCTGTTGAACATATTTCAAAAATGATTTTTAGTAAAATCTGCACTTGAATAATTTCATTTTATTGGTAAAAATCATACAAGGTACACTTATCTTTAACTTTATAAAGTTGAGTATTGTCAGCATAGGGCATGTCAATGTTAAAATTACTGTTTTATAAAATAGACTTGCAGTTGATATAAAATGGAAAATTACGTTATTATTAGCCAAAAGTTGTTTAAACATTATTTATTTAGTGACATTGCAACTCTAAATATGTAGAATATGGTTTAGAGGGTGTTTACATGAATCTGGAATGACTTTCAATCCCGATCGAAACGTGATGTCAATCCATGTTTACATGGGAAATCAACACAAGGATTGACATTTTGCGGGAATTTTGAAATTTGAAGATGGCGAACATAAACATTACAGCAACCCTTTTTTTTGTTGTTCCTGCGTTAATACAGCTTAACACTTGCATGAAACTAATTGTTGTTTTTCTTCGCACTCATTTCAGCCCATTTAGCCTCCTTATTTGCTCACGAGCTTCAATTTCCCAGAAGACACTACACATGGCTTCATTAATCACAATCTCATTCCAGAATGAAACTCAATTCGCATTTACATGAAACTGAAACAATTTTCGATATGGAATGAAATTTCAATCTGGAATGAAAATAGGAATGAACTCCAATCCCAATCGAGTTGTGACTCATTCTGGATTCATGTAAACATACAATAGAATTTCTTTTGAAATGGAATGAGTTCGTTCCGGATCGAAAGACATTCTGACTCATGTAAACACCCCCTTACTTCTCTTGTGCAGTTGCTGCATCTTGTTATGTTTTATGTTACTTAATTGGTGTTTAACTGCTCCACAAGTTTCAATAGACCACTTTTCGACATTCAATCAAGTGGAAGCACTTCTATGTTTTATAAAAAGTTCGGACATTGCTCGATATTCTTTGATAGAACTAATACAATTACATAAAAATGAGTTACTTCGATATATGTTAAACGGTGACAGATACAAACAACAAATTAAGAAGACATTGGCTATTTGTGCTCGAGTAGTTCAACAGTTACATTTGATATTCGTATTGGAATACTGAAATCTTACTTTTCATACTGGTTGGGCTTGCGGAACTTCAACATAACGATCCACCATATCCGTTTCCACCATAATAAATTTTGCAAAATGTGGTAAATTGCTCCACATGCTTAAATTTGGTCTGTTTTCTTCACCCATTTGATTTGGTCCATCTGCTTCATCTTCTGGAAGTTTGGAAGTTGGTTTAGACAATAAATCTTTGTCGCCATGGAAAATTTTCTTTTAAGAAAATTCCAAGATACAAGCGTGAAATGCCAATCTAAAACCCAGAAACATGAGCAGTCCTTTAAATTTTTTTGATTCTTTAGGAAAGGCAAATTTGAGTATAGGAGCAGCTTGCTCCACAGTATTCATCAATACAGTTGCAAATTTGAATAATGCCTCAACAAAGAACGTTGAAAGTGCAAGCTTATAGAATAAAACCACATTCTATAAAAATCAACAACAAAAAATATTATTTATTGTTTTGTATAAATGATATGAGCCATACACAAACACATCATAAACCTTTTATTTCGAATACTCAAACATTTATCATCATATACAACTACAAACCCCCTTAACCCAATCTGAAAAGTTTAAATGTTCTTAACAAGATATTCTATTCAAACAGTGAACTTATTGATGTGCTGGTGCAAAACTCAAATTTATAATTCAACAGTGCACACAAGAAATAGAAAAATCACTTTATAATGAAATCATGAAAGTTAAAATTATTCAAAAACACAAACAAATAAAAGGAGCTTTAACAATAAATAAATACGTAATAAGCCAATACCGGTATAACAATTCTCATTACTCATTTAGTTAGGTAGCCACAAATACAAATGTTGCTATTATGCAATGGTATTAAGAAAATAAAATTTGCAGTTAGTCCAACACACATAAAACACATAATGATAAATTATGCCCATACCAATAGCATTGTTTAGTCTAGACTTCATAAACAATGATTCAAAAGTTTTACCATTTTTTCCTGTGCTTTTCAATCTCCTATCCTCATCAAACATTTTTCTGAGTTTACCCATCTTCGACCTTACCGTCCCAACACCATCGACATCTTTATCTTTGCCGTAGTTTTCTCCATTAGGGAAATTTTTGTAATTTTTCTTGCTTTTCACGGAGCTCACGTTCAAATCAGGTCACTCAAGTTCTTGATTTTATAAAACGAGCTCCCTCTCTACTGACTTGTCAAGACCAATGAATAATTAAGTAAGTTATGTTAAATATTTGGTTGCATCGTACTGACAAGCAGAAGAAATTTGTGTTTTCACTGAAGACACAAAGTGTTTGTCATATTAAAACATTTTTCAGTCACTGAACTGTTTACATACAGCTGGGCTATCCTTTTGTTTACTACACATCGATATTGATTGATAAAGTAGAAAGCTAAACTTCTGTCAAAAAATGGCAATTGTTATGTTGTTAGCTGGCGGAGTGGGTATAATTCAATTTTCCTTTATTAGCTATTGGGCTATTTTTTCTAATATTTCTGCCAGTAAAAGTTTACAAACCGTACACGTCTAAAGAGGGGATTATTTTAATCGCTTCAGCTTGCTATCTCTGGCTAAATGTCGCGTTCAATTATTTCGCGGCGATGCTTAAGTCCCCTGGATATCTGTTAACAGCGTCCGAAATGGAGGAAAACGGTTTCTAAATGGACGAAGGAAGCGTCCTTTGTTGTAAAATGTAAATGCGATCGAATGAAATCAATTGACACCCACCAATGAAGCACGTGCGGAACATGCGTTACCATGATGTGTCATCACTGTCCATTTACAAGCAACTGTGTTGGCCTAAAAAATTATTCATATCTTTCCCTATTTATCTGTTATAGTAACATTGGTTTACTATTTGCGATGTACATGACATATAAACCATTTTACTAATGCATGGTACCTACAAGTGATCACTTGGACACCCTGTCATGGTACCCTAATGGTATTTGCAAAAAGCTTGGTGACTTTGCCATCTTCATTATCCTTGTAGTATTTAAGGCAATGTTTTGTGGTTCAATGTTCCTATTACAGTCTTTGCTTCTGGCAACAAATTGCTTAACTATTGAACTTCTCACCAAAATGCAGAGATCTCGAAATCTCACAGATATCATTCAATTCTTCGTTAAGCGAATTTGTAAAAGCAAAAAAAGTCGATTTCAGGTGATGTTTTGGCATTCACGTAAACATTGGTGACAGTTCCTCGTTCCAGCATTTAGTGTACCCATACAACAGAAGGAAAGACTAAATCTTGTTGTTTGATCACCAGTCCATTTGAGAATGATTCTGTACTTTAATTTACATTTTTAATAGAGTACAACATAGAGTAGGGATGTGGGAGCTCAATACTTGGAGGATGGGGTCAATCATCATACACCTCCATATTATGCTCCTTTGACATGCATTGTTTCCTACAGATTATAACATGCATACATGAATATAGGCCCGAGACAATTATTGAGCCCGCTACATTCATGTTGTGGAGATTGAGCATTCACAAGTTCTAATACAAAGTACTTAAGTTGTAATGAGTGAGGCTTATGCCAAGTTAACACAGCTTTTGTGCTCATGTTAATGATATTTACTGACTGTCAGTAGAAAGTATTTATAAAGCTTTTATTTCATAATTACACCCTTTTATTTATAAAATCTAATTTCAATGTGTACAATACGTAGATATTAAATATACTATAGAATGAAGTATTAATTTATAAAATAGAGATTCACTAAACATTAATAAAACATCATTATACATGGATAGACAATATCAAACTTAATGGTATTTGAACGATTAGTTCAATAACAAAGACAAAGGTAAATTAAATTGTGCCAAATTATATTAAATTCAAACCAGTATTGTATTTTTTATTTTAACTTATTTTGCTTGAGGGCTGTTTCATCATATTGTTAAGATATTTGAATGGCCAAGAAGAAAACATTTTTGGCACTTTTCACCCCCAAAGTAGCATGCATTGAAAATACAAAACTACTTTGTGTGATGTGTGAATTCGACTATAAGAATATAACAACCCACCCCCACCCCCGCCACTCTTCATCTGCCACTCACCTTCATGAATGCCTCCATGTCACTCCCCTTTGTCATCACCAACAATTATACAGGTTAAACACCTTATTTGAATAATTTAAATTATTTTCTTCTTTTAACTGTTATTAAGTTTTTCATCATATCAAAACTATTACCATCAAGTTGAAGGAGTATAATGAAATTTAATGATAAAAATGGTACAACTTTTATAACTACAGCATACAAATATAAAAAAAGTTAACTAAAATCAATGTTTAAAATATCCATGACAGTTTTCAAATTACTAGCTTAAAAAAGAAAAAGAAAAAAAAAGAGAGAAAAGGGAAAGTCGGGTGTAAAGGCAACTTTCCCAATAACCTAGGTCAATATTTAAAGTGTGTTCGCGAGTTGAGGCAGATCGACTTCCTCGTATCGCAGTAATTGCTGACCTAATCAGTGCGAAAGACAGTTTACAATGCATCCACGTTAGCGTGATGCCATATTGCAGGTTTCTCTTTTGTGCCAGCAGATCAGCTAGCCGTTTATAAGCAATTGCCGTCTCTTTCACCATCAAGTTGAAGTGTTTTAACTTCATTCAAGTCATTAACTACACAGAGAAAACCCATGTCATCTAAACCTTTGATTGTAACTATTTCACCGTCTTCATTATCCAGTTTTACTTTGGACTCGCTAAAGTGGAATGAAAAAGCAAAATTAGTTACGTAATTACGACCTCGTTGCTTTTCTTCTTCGTGATGTACCCTCTGATTAAAGATACGCCAGCTATAGATCCTACAAGCTTGATTTCAAATTTTCAATTTTTAAAGAGCAAAGCGACTAAGCGATTGTCTTTTTATTAATTCCGTTCTCTATATCAATCAGTAGCGTAGCCAGCTAGCAGATGTAGTCGTACTATGTAAATTATTGAACATTATCATTAATAATTTTTTCAGTTGTTCATATAATCAGTGAAACTACCTAACAATTTTTCCATAACTGGACTAAAAAGTTCGGTTTACTACGCTACTGTTGTTGATGCTGAGAGGGGTCATAAAAAATTGGAGAATCGTTTTAGTGAGAAACCGCAATTTTTGTAGCTCAGCTCGGCGAAAAATTTTTTCATTCTTTACAAAGTTCAGCTGTTTTTTTATCGTCGTAGAAAATCATAAACTGACCTGTGTAACCAGCGTGAGTAGTATTTTTGAAGAAACATTTCGGGTCCATTGAGCTGAAAGTCTTCTACGAGTTCTTCCATTTTGTTAAGAATTCTAGCAAGAAGCTCTTCTTTGTTGATTTTTTCAATAACTTGTGTTGCTCGATGATTTCGTTAATACAAGTTGTTGGCTGATGGTTGTCAACATTTATTCCAATCCCTACAATCGAAAGTTTTGAAAAGATGAAAATTGTGGGAGAATGCAGGTATCTGTTACATAGCCAGCCAACAAATTTGGTGGTGCCAAGTAAATTATTTTGACGTTCACTCAATGTAAAAATAATGGATTTCTAAATAATGCAAATGATCTCATATTTACAACTGTTTAGATCATTAACGCTACGTCGTATGCAAAGGATCACGACTAGAGCAAGTTAGCATTATACAGAAAATGAGCTTCACAACACGTAAAATGGTTTGGTACGAGAAAGTGTTTTTATGAGTCTTGGAAAAAATTGTGAATAAAAAACGTCCCCAGCATTTGAAAGATATCCCTTTTTTATATAACGCTGAAAGATTATAATTCCTTCCATGATTAGCCTGCAGTCATAACTGGATAAAACCGTTGTCATGCTTTCAATTTTACGTTCACTCTCAGTTTAGAAACTGCTGATGAGACAAAACTCATAAAAATGTTGCAAAATGCACTCATTTTGAACATCACATAAAACAACATGTGTTAAACCCTACAGAATGAAAGACAAAACCTTTTAAACTTTAAAGTCACCTTTAAGACAGGAGTTTTCTTTTATTTGAGACAAGAATATATTGTGTGTTATATATCCACTTTAACATGGGACGCACAAAAAAACTAACATAAAGTTCAAATACCTATGATAGCCCAAAGACATCTTCCTTGAATAATAGAGTTGACCAGAACACCACCAATTTTTGTCTTATTTCCATAATAAATGTCATTGGGCGATTTGACCCGGAGATCTAAATTCTAAGAACACGATTAAAATTATGATGCTGTCTTTAGTTCCTTATGGACAAGTTTCATATATTTGAAATTATGATGCTGTCTTTAGTTCCTTATGGACAAGTTTCATATATTTGCGCTGGTCCTTCTAGATTTAAGTAATAAATCTTCATTTATCAAACTTAAATCCCTGAATTTGAATATTCCAGTCAGGTCTCTTTGTCGAGAATGATTTGATATCAAAACTTTAGTCCTTATACGTATGCTCTAGTCTAGTATCTTCATCAGGAGTATCTTGTTGTTGAAACTCGACTCTTCAAATACTCCAGTTTAGTATCTTCATTAGGAATGATCTGATGCTGAAACTTGAATTCGTATTTAGCTACTCGTCTTCTTTAGGGAAAGTTTTGATGTTGAGTTCTTAATTTAAATCCTCTCGCAGGTCCTTATTTCCATGCATTTAGTTCAAACATAACAGATGAAAAACGCAAAAATAAATCACCTGATATCCAGATATGTCCCTCACAGCATCAACAATGGCTAGGGCTGCGATATGTTGTACAAATGGAAGACGTTGACCAAGATTAGAATTAAGTTCAATCTCCAAAGGAAATGAAAATGAAAGACAACCATCCGGAGATAGCCAAGCATTTCCTCCACGACCTACAGAAAAACATCATTCCCACTATACTTAAACATTTATTCCTCGAAGAACAGCAATAAATGGTGGATGGTTTTTGGGAGATACAAAAAAATGTAAGACAAAGGAAACTAATGGGATGTTGGAATGGTACTAAAAATAACATATCAAAAAACATATTACAAACCTTTTCCAACAGTCTGTTGTCTTGCAATAACAACAACACCAAGGCCACCAGGTGATTCTTTCAGTAATCTCAGAATTCTGAAATAAATTTATGCAAGTACGTTATTGTACGTATATTTGAACTTAATTTATTTCGAAAATAAGCGAAAACGAGCTTCCAAAACAGACAACGTAGGGCCTTTGTGAAAAACATTATGCTTTCTTTTGGCTTCAGAAACGTTCAAAAGAATTTCCATTCTTTTTAGATGCGTATTGGTGTATGTATGTACATTTGATCATCCACAGTTCTTCTTGTTGTAGAAAGTCTCGTAAAAAGATTTTTATGGTATTTGTCCAAGAAAAAAATAATCACTACAGTTGTACGAGATAAAATATCTCCAAACACGAAGGAAGAAACGAAGTCATTGTATCCTTTTTAATAAGTAAAACGAATCTCCTTTTCTGGGAAAAAAATCTTTTTGCTGGGAAAATGGTTAAATAAAAAAACATGTAATATTTTTAAAAAGATATCATGTTAAAACTATGTATGATATGAACATTCTCACCATCTAAATGCAGTATCAAAGGGAAAACTCAGACTGGAGCAATACTAAGACCACGAATTTAGCTTGTTGCCTTACCCATTCACGATGGTTTGTGTGGATGTGATGACGTCAGTATAGATCATCACGTGAACCAAATGTTTCGTTTTCAATAATTCTTTGTATTGAGATTTGCAGTACTGTAACGTTCAGGGAATGGGTTTTGTTATAACTGGAAAATTGTCAACAGTAGCGATGGCATCTTGGTCATCTGTGAATAAAACAGTCATACCGTTACCATGGAAACAATTATCAGTTGTAAGGTCTTGTATACAATGCAGAAAGAGGTCTTTGTTCTTTGTGCTAAAATGGAGGAATGTCAGAATGAGCTCAATAGCAATACGATCAAAATCATTCTTTCCACCAAACATAAAGCAATGCTACATGAAGACCTACATACCAAGGTTGATGGAAGATTGATATTTGAAGGGTAACTTTGTTTTGAAATAGACATGTTTCGACATCTCATGATGCCATCTTCAGTATGGGTGAAATAATAAGTGATAAAGGGTTTATATAAAAGTAATATGATACATAAATTACAACAATAAAAAGGAAATAAGATAAATTAATGGGGAGCGTCCGAGTGTATTATAAACTACATATTGTATTGAAGTTAAAAACTTGAACATTAAGGTCAGGGTTAGTTTTGTTAATGTGGAGTGCTTCTTTGATTTTAAGGGTGAATGAGGTGTCGGCAGTGTCGATGATTTTGATACAAGAGGGGGTGAATAGTTGGTTTTACATGAGTGAGATTTAAGAAGATGTTGGTAGATATCAATATTGTCTGATGATGTCTTGAGAGTCAAGACGAAACGTTACACTTTTAAATAAATATTTCTTTCTATGCATTAAATGCCTCTTTTAAGAGTTGTTATTTTGGAATTTTCATTTGTGTTGGTCGTGATCATCTTGTCAGGAGTTTTGGTGTCTACTTTCAGGTTGTTGCTTTGTTTGTTGTCGAGATATCGTTTTACGGTTCTGTTAATAAAGTGTACTGGGAAAGAGTTTCGTAAAAGAGTGGATGTGATGTTTCGTTGAAAGCCATTGTTCGTATTGTTAAGTTTGTATGCTCTGTCGATTAGTGTGCGTATAAGTCCGGTTTTGTATGAAAGTGGTGTGAAACTAAAATAGTTCGTCAGAAGTCCTGTGTACGTTGGTTTGTGATATGTAGATGTTGTACAGCTGTCATGGGATTTTGTTAGTAAAATGTCAAGAAATGGCATTTTACTCAAATTGTTGTTCAGTTTAAAATGAAAATGTAATGTTTGGGTGCTGTGTGTCAATGTAATTATAAAACATCATGGCCTCAGTTTCGTTAGTAAAAACACAAAAAATATCGTCAACGTATCTGCGGTAAAAGAGTGGTTTAGTGTCGTTGTAGTTTAGCCAGTGTCGTTCATGTGAGCCCATGAAAATGTTAGCAAGTATGGGTGCTAAGGGAGAGCCCATAGCAACACCGTCCGTCTGGTCATAAAATTGTCCATTAAATAAAAATGCGTCTGTGCTGTTGCTATTAAAAACAGTTGTGTGAGGTCTGTCCTGTTTATACTGAACCTGGGGTTGTAAGTGGTATGTTAGTAAATGGGCTTTCAACGTCGTAGGAGATGAAGAATTTGTGACGAGAAGTTGATGAGTTGAAAGATGAAAAGTCGTCGAGGAAAGTGAAAGAATCTTTAGTGGAGTGGTCATCTGGTATGAGTGGTGTTAATAGAGAACTAAGATAGTTCGCTAAATTGTAGTTGTACGAGTTAATTGATGAAACAATCGATCGTAGTAGAGGCGATTGTTCTGGTCCTCGTTTCTTGTGAAGTTTCGTTAAGCCATAGGAGCGTGAGGGTTGAGAACCTCTGGGGAAGATTCCGTTATAAACTTTGTTGATAATCGAGTCTTTCGTTAGAAGCTTCCTTAACAGTCGTTGTAGTTTGGCTTCACGTTCAAGTTTTTAAATTAAATACAATATTTAGTTTATAATACGCTCGGACGCTCCCCATTAATGTATCTTATTTCCTTTTATTGTTGTAATTTATGTACCATATTACTTTTATATAAGCCCTGTATCACTTATTATTTCACTCATACAGAAGATGGCATCATGAGATGTCGAAACATGTCTACATGTCTATTTTAAAAAAACTTGTCGTGTATATTAAATGCGCATTAGCAATAGTGCTTTTACGAAATTATGAAGGGTAACTCATATTCAAATATGAATAATTCACAGAAAACAATGTGTTTCATTGCAACATATATAAATTTGAATATCATGCATATATGAATATGAGCCCCCCCCCTCCCCCCAGAGTAATGATTTTGATCTTCTAAAGGCCATACCTACGTACCTATGTAGAAGACTTATGGACTATCTTGAAGACCAATAAGGTACTTTTTCTATTTTGTCCAGATTAACTATGAACTACTTACATATAACCAATTGATTAACAGAAATTGATACATGAGTAATTTCAATTCAGGTGAAAGAGATGTAAAAATGGAGTTGAGCCTTTACCTTTTGATCAACCAATAACATTGCAGGGGTAAGTGAACACTCTGGGACATCTTCACACATCATTCCAAGATTACATAACAGCATTTTCATTAATATTTCAATACTGCTGTCAGTATTTCCATCCAGTGCAATACTAGAGATCAGTTCAGTTACTGTGGATAACATCAATATGCCTTTACCATGAGATTCCTAGATGATAACAGGTAGGGATGTTTTTGAGGTGACAGCCAACACTTCCAAGTCGTTGCAAGGTTTGACTAAATTATTGAAATAAGACTATGTTTTTTTTTGCAAATCACAAGTTGATTTTGGATTAACATAACTAGCAGCTGAAAACATTAATTTGATTGCTTTATTTTGATTATGTGTCACAAGCTACATATATTGTAAAATGCATGGTTTGAACCCGAGAGTATAATTATATGTTTGTAGATGTAGATCATCTAGCATATTATAATCCTGAGAAGGACTGTTGATGTTGACTGTGACAGACCTTTCGACAACCTTTGCGGTAGTCATCTTTAGAGTCATCATACATATTTTGCACAATTTAAGTTGTGTTATTCAAAATTGAAATTGTGTTCACTAGCTATAACTATATACTTCTAGAGAAATGAATGTTAAAATTTTAGATTGTACAACTCAAATAAGATGCTACTGGTTTCATGCAACTTATCTTAATTGACACAATTTATGATGAGGATCCCCAATATAGGAGGCGTGGCAGTCGCCTACACCATACAACATACATGTTACTCGAGGTCGATACTGTATGTGTCGCACATAAACCAATCACAACGTTATGACAAGTACTAACAAGCATAAAGGACAAAGAACAACCCAACAAACGACAAGGTGCAGTTTACAAAATAAACTGCTCCGACTGCCATGCTTCCTATATAGGAGAAACTGGCGGGAACTTAAACATAAGACTTACTGAACACAAACGAGCAACTAAGAAACAAGACAAAAATATTCACATTGCCAAGCATCACCAAATCACAAAACACAAAATTGACTGGGACTCAGCAAAATGCATTACTTACAGTACTGACTATAGACAACGGCTTACATTAGAAAGTTGGTATATCAACTTGGAACAAACCCCCCCTGAACAGATCACAGGAATTACTGGAACCTTACAAACGACTTATTCACAATACAAACAAACAATCAACTAAAAACATTTCACTTCACACTAATTCACAATGACAATTCACAATAGACACCCACACATTACAACTAAAAACATCACACCTAAATCACACATCACAACTAAAAACATTTCACTTCACACTAATTCACAATGACAATACACATTTCATGTACACACAATACAATGACGTAAGAAACAGATAACAAATACAGCCAACCTGACGCTAACTCTTCATTTGACACTGAAGAGGACTACCGCTAAGGTTGTCAAAACGTCAGTCAACAACAACAAAAACAGTCCTTCTTAGGACTATACCAACTTGGACAATCTAGATTTACAAACATAGAACTAATACAATTACATAAAATTGAGTTACTTCGATATATGTTAAACTGTGCCAGATATAAACAACAAATTAAGAAGACAGTGGCTATTTGTGCTCGAGTAGTTTGACAGTTACATTTGCTATTCGTATTGGAATACTGAAATCTTACTTTTTATACAAGTTGGGCTTACGGAACTTCAACATAACGATCCACCATATCCGTTTCCACCATATTAAATTTTGCAAAATGTGGTAAATTGCTCCACCTGCTTAACTTTGGTCTGTTTTCTTCACCCATTTGATTTAGTCCATCTGCTTCATCTTCTGGAAGTTTGGAAGTTGGTTCAGACAATAAATCTTTGTCCCCATGGAAAAGATTGTCATAAAAAAATTGCAAGATATGAACGTGAAATGCCAATCTAAAACCCAGAAACATGAGCAGTCCTCCTTCAAATTTTTTGATTCTTCAGGAAAGACAAATTTGAGGATAGGTGCAGCTTGCTCCACAGTATCCAGCAATACAGTTGCAAATTTGAATAATGCCTCCACAAAGAACGTTGAAAGTGCAAGCCAATAGAAAAAAACCACATTCTATAAAAATCAACAACGAAAAATATTATTTATTGTTTTGTATGAATGATATGAGCCATACACAAACACATCATAAACCTTTTATTTCGAATACTCAAACATTTATCATCATATACAACTACAAACCCCCTTCACTTAATCTGAAAAGTTTAAATGTTCTTCTTAACAAGATATTCTATTCAAACAGTGAACTTATTGATGTGCTGGTGCAAAACTCAAATTTATAATTCAACAGTGCACACAAGAAATAGAAAAATCACTTTATAATAAAATCATGAAAGTTAAAATTATTCAAAAACACAAACAAATAAAAGGAGCTTTAACATTAAATAAACACGTAATAAGCCAATACCGGTATAACAATTCTCATTACTCATTTAGTTAGGTAGCCACAAATACAAATGCTGCTATTATGCAATGGTATTAAGAAAATAAAATTTGCAGTTAGTCCAACACACATAAAACATAACGACAAATCATGCCCATACCAATAGCATTGTTTAGTCTAGACTTCATAAACAATGATTCAAAAGTTTTACCATTTTTCCTGTGCTTTTCAATCTCCTATCCTCATCAAACATCTTTCTGAGTTTACCCATCTTCGACCTCACCGTCCTAACACCATCGACATCTTTATCTTTGACGTAGTTTTCTCCATTAGGGAAATTTTTGTAATTTTTCTTGCTTTTCACGGAGCTCACGTTCAAATCAGGTCACTCAAGTTCTTGATTTTGTAAAACGAGCTCGCTCTCTACTGACTTGTCAAGACCAATGAATTATTTAAGTAAGTTATGTGAAATATTTGGTTGCATCTTACTGACAAGCAGAAGAAATTTGTGTTTTCACTGAAGACACAAAGTGTTTGTCATATTAAAACACATTGAATAATTTAATTAATCAATGTGTTTTAATTAATCTTCATTTATTAAAACACATTATCAGTCACTGAACTGTTTACACACAGCACCTGGCTATCCTTTTGTTTACTACACATCGATATTGATTGATAAAGTAAAAAGCTGAACTTCTGTCAAAAAATGGCAATTGTTATGTTGTTAGCTGGTGGAGTTGGTATTATTCAATTTTCCTTTATTAGCTATTGGGCTATTTTTTCTAATATTTCTGTCAGTAAAAGTTGACAAACCGTACACGTCTAGAGAGAGGATTATTTTAATCGCTTCAGCTTGCTATCTCTAGCTAAATGTCGTGTTCAATTATTTCGCGACGATGCTTAAGTCTCCTGGATATCTGTTAACGGCGTCCGAAATGGAGGAAAACGGTTACAAAATGGACGAAGCAAGCGTCCTTTGTTGTAAAATGTAAATGCGATCGAATGAAATCAATCGACACCCACCACTGTACCACGTGTGGAACATGCGTTACCATGATGTGTCATCACTGTCCATTTACAAGCAACTGTGTTGGCCTCAAAAATTATTCATATCTTTCCCTATTTATCTGTTATAGTAACATTGGTTTACTATTTGCGATGTACATGACATATAAACCATTTTACCAATGCATGGTACCTACAAGTCATCACTTGGACACCCTGTCATGGTACCATAATGGTATTTGCAAAAAAATTGGTGACTTTGCCATCTTCTTTATCCTTGTAGTATTCATGGCAATGTTTTGTGGTTCAATGTTCCTATTACAGTCTTTGCTTCTGGCAACAAATTGCTTAACTATTGAACTTCTCACCAAAATGCAGAGATCTCGAAATCTCACAGATTTCATTCAATTCTTCGTTAAGCGAATTTGTAAAAGCAAAAATAGTCGATTTCAGGTGATGTTTTAGCATTCACGTGAATATTGGTGGCAGTTCCTCGTTCCAGCATTAAATGTACCCATACAACAGAAGGAAAGACTAAATCTTGTTGTTTGATCACCAGTCCATTTAAGAATGATTGTGTACTTTAATTCACATTTTTAATAGAGTACAACATAGAGCAGGGATGTGAGAGCTCAATACTTGGAGGATGTGGTCACTCATGAAACACTTCCATATTATGGTCTTTTGACATGCACTGTTTCCTACAGATTATAACATGCATACATGAATATAAGTCTGAGACAATTATTGAGCCCGCTACATCCATGTTGTGGAGATTGAGCATTCACAAGCTCTAATACAAAGTATTTATGTTATAATGAGTGAGGTTTATGCTAAGTTAACACAGCTTTTGTGCTCATGTTATTGATATTTACTGACAGTCAGTAGAAAGTATTCATAAAGCTTTTATTTTATAAATACACCCTTTTATTTATAAAATGTAATTTCAATGTGTACGATACGTAGATATTAAATATACTATAGAATGAAGTATTAATTTATGAAATAGATATTCACCAAACATTAATAAAACATCATTATACATGGATAGACAATATCAAACTTAATGGTATTTGAATGATTACTTCTATAACAAAGACAAAGGTAAATTAAATTATGCCAAATTATATTAAATTCAAACCAGTATTGTATTTGTAACTTATTTTGCTTAATAGTTGTTTCATCATATTGTTAAGGTGTTTGAATGGCCAAGGAAACATTTTTGGCACTTTTCACCCCCAAAGTAGCACGCATTGAAACTTTGAAACTACTTAGTGTGATGAGTGAATTTGACTGTAAGAATATAACACCCCCCTGCCATTCTCCATCTGCCACTCACCCCCTGAATGCCTCCATATCACTCCCCCCTGTCATCACAAACAATTATACAGGTTAAACACCTTATTTGAATAATTTGAATTATTTTCTTGTTTTAACTGTTATTAAGTTTTTCATCATATCAAAACTATTACCATAAGGTTGAAGTGTTTTAAAGTGCACATACAGCCTTCCCGAATTCGTTGAACTTTTAAAGTTTAGACTGTGGAAAATATGATTTCGAAAAAAATTTCGTAAAAAAAATAAAAACACAGTTTTTTGGCGGTTTGAATAAGCTAGCTTTTGAAAAATTTCCGCGCCTCTGAGGGGACTAAAGACGAGAGGTTTGTGACGTCATTTAAGGAACGTATGAATGCGCTACATACAAAACAACACAGTGTGAAATAACAATTCTCTATATATTGCTTTGAAATTAATATAAAAATTGAACGAAACATGTCGACATCCGATTCTGAGTCGAGTAAAGCAACAACAGCGGAAAATATTGAATTGAATAGTCGGTAATTCGATTTAGAAGACGAAGATCAATCGTCGTCAAATGCGCTCCGAAACACCGATGGCGATTTTGAGTACGGCCAAGCTGCAGCGTATGAAAACGAACCACTTGCTGATGATGAATGGTTAGAAAACTATAATAGAGAGACTGAAGAACAAAGACGCCAAACAGAAGAGCTCGAACGCAAATGAAGTTCCTCTTGATTCTTGGTAAGAAAAGTTGGAAAATTTGTTCATTTATTGTTGCCGAAGCTTTTGACAGAGAACTTTCTTAGGTGCAATTGTGGTAAGTGCCGTGTTCCTCACTTGGTTAATCTAAAAGAATGCAGATGTTGCCACGAAATTATCAATTGCATTTATTGAAATGCAAGATCATATGGTGGTATACGAATTAGGAAGGAAGCCAAAATGCATCACAGAGCATCCAGGATTTGATGCCATTTGCCTCAATCGATGGGCATTAAATTTAGCTGCCAATCTTTACCAAAGATGAGATGGAGTTAGATATTGTAAAGGATTCTTGGAGCAAAGGTTTGTTACAATTAATAGTTAAATGCTTCTGTCTGGGTTATCTATGAATGCACACTTGCAAAATTTGTATTTTATGGACTCCTACCTCTTTTAATGGACCTTGTGAATTATGCCTTTACAGGTTTTTTCGAGTTGTTGCATATAGGCAATTTAAAAGAATGGTACATGGCATTCTTCGAGACGAAAGAATTCTACTTTCAGCTTGTGCTTACCATGTTATTTGAACAACTTTTAATTTAAAAAAAAATGAACACTTTGCAGGGTATGAAGAGGACAATTTGTAAAATAACATAACATTATATATTATTTTAGTTGTTGTGTGCATGAGCCCAGCTAGTAGAGATTCAGTGAAGTGTGGAATGATATTAGCCACTCTTGATGTATTGCATCTTCGATTCACACTTATTCTTGTTGTACAAAACGTACAAAATTACAATTCCTTTTCTTTTTATTCTTTCCATGCAGTCATTTCACACTTCACTGAATCCCAACTAACTGGGCTCATACCACCAGCTCCTAAAAAGTGGATACATTTGGTTTTTTGGGCAGTTAATTATATTTTTATGGCCTTTCATCCAATTCTTGCACACAATGCATTGAGGTGCTGCCCTCTCATTTCTCTGATCAGTGATTTTTTCTTGGGCAGGAGATACTTCAGCTGTATCAAATAATAAAGTGAGTCAGTTCCAAAAATAAGATTCAAATTAACTCAAAGCAAGTAATGCCTTTTTGTTAAACCTGGCTTAGTTGGGGGGAAATGTACAGCTGGCATGGTTTGTCTTCTTGCTTTTTTTGAGATAGCTTCACTTTTTGATTGCTTGTCCAACATGGAATTCATTGGCAATGGAGTCATTCGTAAAAGATCACCTTTGGCTTTTCATAATGTTTCCTCATCAATGAGTGCAGAGCACAACACTTGATATACAGTGACACGCAAAAGTATTCAATACACTGGATAATTGTTAATATCTCACGTTCTAATCATTATTTTTTGATGCAAAGTGCATGAAATATTCATGTTAGTGTAAGAAAAAGAATCTCTGAAGGATATTGAAAAGCAATCATTATTGTATTGTTTATTCAAAAAAACACCAAAATAAGTAACGCAAAAGTATTCAATACATTATGTTATCATAATGTTGTTAACATATTACTATAGTCTTTTATTGCGAACATCTCATCATGGTTCATTTCCATATAAATATGACAATATTAGACCAATCACCAGCGTCCTCGTCGTTATTTTGAAGTCAGTATGGCCGGTGATACCACTGTAACCATTCGTGAACTCAGTTTCCCTTAGTGCTTACTATTTAACCATGGTTAAAGCAAAGGAATTGTGTAACGACATGCGTGAACGTATCGTAGAACTGTACCAAAAAGGGAATGGGTACAGGAAGATATCACAGGCTTTAAATGTGAATGTAAACACAGTGGGATGCATCATCAGAAAGTGGAGGAAGTGTGACTCTGTTTTAAATGGTCCCAGAACAGGCCGTCCAAGAAAGATTACTGGTGCAAGTGAAAGGTTGGTCATTCGAAAAGTGAAGCAGAACCCATTTGTAACCCGTTCAGAGATAAAAGAGCAGTTAAAAGGTGCTGAAGTAAATGTTAGCAAAGATAACATCAGTCGGACTATTTATCGAGCCGGTATTCACTCCAGGTCCCCCAGAAAAATGCCTCTTCTGAAGAAGAAACATGTTGTCGATCGATTGAAGTTTGCCGACGACTATCTAGTGAAGCCAGATACGTATTGGGACACTGTTGTATGGTCAGATGAGACAAATATAGAACTTTTTGGTTATAATGGTGCTAACAAGGTTTGGAGAAAAAGCGGAGAATCTCATGCTCCAAAAAACACTATCCCAACAGTTAAATTCGGTGGGGTAGTATAGTGATTTGGGCTTGTTTTTGTTCGAATGGAGTCGGAGAGTTGAAGATCATAGAAGGAAGGATGAATGCCCTTATGCATCGCGATATTTTGACGGAAAAACTTAAGAAATCAGTTGATTCCTTCCAGTTTGAAAGTGGTTTTGTGTTTCAACAAGACAATGACCCAAAGCACACCTCGAAGCTAATGAAAAAATGGTTTACGGATAACAAAATTGATGTGATGAAATGGCCCAGCCAATCGCCTGACCTAAACCCAATCGAAAATTTGTGGAGGATTCTCAAAATCAATGTCCACAAGCAGAATCCTAAAAATATGGACGATTTGAAAACTTTCTGCTTCGAAGAATGGAATCGAATAACGCCTGAGACATGCAAGAAGTTCTCTGAGAACTATGCTAAGAGACTTCTTGCTGTAAAACAGAATAAAGGATTTGCAACTAAATACTAAATTGATGTGTTGAATACTTTTGCGTTACTTATTTTGATGTTTTTTTGAATAAACAATAAAATACTGATTGCTTTTCAATAGCCTTCAGAGATTTTTTTTCTTACACTAACATGAATATTTCATGCAATTTTCATCGAAAAATAATGATTAGAACGTGAGATATTAACAATTATCCAGTGTATTGAATACTTTTGCGTGTCACTGTATATCTTCAACATACCCTGGAGGAGCAATGTGGAAATTATTCAAAATTTTATTTTATAGTAATCATTTCTTATTAAGACTTTGATTGTTATGGCATTTAACACATGAAATCAGGCAGTAGGAGAAATATATTAAATAACCTTACCAAAATACTGAGCAACGTTTACATTTCTTACAACAGCTTCACCATTTATAAATTTTGGATAATGCTTTTTAACCTGGGGAACTCCATTAGTCCAAATTGCTTTCGAAGTGAGTTACAACAAGGATATGCCTTCATGAAATATAAAATTGCATTCAATTTCTTGAAAGAGTTTAAATTGGCACAAGTGAATAAAAACTGTAATGATACATAGGTGTTTCATCACACATGTTTCATAGAATACCTGCAGAACATTCCAGGAAAAGAGTAGCTTATCATTCTGATAATATAGGCTCATCATAAGTTGTTTCTTCTGTTTGCTCTTGAGGTTCGCTACTTGTACTGGGAATATTTTCCGATTCAAACTCTCTTTTATAATCAGACATCTAAAATGGCATATATTTTTGAAATATACTCACACACAGATTCCAGGTAAAATGTAAATATGCATATGTATAATTATTAACGTACTCACCATTCTGCGATCTCTTGTTGTAAGTTCATTGTCATCTTTTCGAGGTTAAATGCTCGGGTAAGCAGCGATTCCGAATTCGTCTCGTATGATTCAAAGTGCAAAATTACTTTCTGATTCAGAAAGCGAGCCGAATTGCCGAGAAAACGAATCTTGTGTTCCGAGCAAACTGCGGAATTCTTTGTGGGGACCCACTTAACGCGAGTAGCTTTCAAAAAGTTGACCCAACGCTTTCTCTTACGCTTAGCTTCGCTTCTTTCGTCGTTAAAAAATGGTATGCGATGAAGTGAAATGCCTTTCTCCGAACTGGCTACGTTAGAACAACCAAAAACTACACATCGATCTGGCATTTTTGCGTTTGTTTACATGTATAAACTGTGTGTGTGTTTTGGCAGTCAGTCTATGTTCCTTAAATGACGTCACAAATAAGTCCCATGCCACGGATTTGAGCGCTCGACATTTTTTACAAAACGTTGAAATTCAGGTTTTATTCGCATCTTTGCCGAAAGATAACTCAAAAACGAAAAAAGTTATTCAAATTTTGTAAATGGCATTTGTATTATTTATACAATATCTATTTGTGAATATAAAACTAAAAATAGTTGTATGTGCACTTTAACAGAACCGTAAAACGATATCTCGACAACAAACAAAGCAACAACCTCAAAGTAGACACCAAAACTCCTGACACGACGATCACGACCAACACAAATGAAAATTCCAAAATAACAACTCTTAAAAGAGGCATTTAATGCATAGAAAGAAATATTTATTTAAAAGTGTAACGTTTCGTCTTGACTCTCAAGACATCATCAGACAATATTGATGTCTTGAGAGACAAGACGATACGTTACACTTTTAAATATATATTTCTTTCTATGCATTAAATGGCTCTTTTAAAAGCACTTTGCTGGGCTTTGATATTTATATTTAAACTTCGCTTTCCGCCCGGTATATCCCTGGTCACAATAACAACTCCATACTTCAAACTACCATATATCGGACATTACTCACGACACACACAGCGCAGACTTACAAACATTATGAAACGCTTCTGTACAGATATTGATATTCGACTAATTTTCACATCATTCAAAATCAAAAATCTTTTCTCATTCAAAGACCCAATCCCTGATTCAATTAAATCTATGGTGGTATATGAATTCAATTGCGCGGGATGTAATTCCCGATACATTGGCGAAACTTCACGCCCTTTATCCACCAGAATCAGAGAACATACCACAACAGACAAAATTATCATATCTACCAACACCTTCTTAAATCTCACTCATGTAAAACCAACTATTCACCCTCTTGCTTCAAAATCATCGACACTGCCGACACCTCATTCACCCTTAAAATCAAAGAAGCACTCCACATTAACAAAACTAACCCTGACCTCAATGTTCAAGTTTTTAAATTCAATACAATATGTAGTTTATAATACGCTTGGACACTCCCCATTAATTTATCTTATTTCCTTTTTATTGTTGTAATTTATGTATCATATTACTTTTATATAAACCCTTTATCACTTATTATTTCACTCATACTGAAGATGGCATCATGAGATGTCGAAACATGTCTATTTTAAAACAAAGTTACCCTTCAAATATCAATCTTCCATCAACCTTGGTATGTAGGTCTTCATGTAGCATTGCTTTATGTTTGGTGGAAAGAATGATTTTGATCGTATTGCTATTGAGCTCGTTCTGACCTTCCTTCATTTTAACACATAGAACAAAGACCTCTTTCTGCATTGTATGTAAGACCCTATAACAGACAATTGTTTCCATGGTAACGGTATGACTGTTTTATTCACAGATGACCAAGATGACATCGCCTCTGTTGACAATTTTCCAGTTATAACAAAACCCATTCCCTGAACGTTACAGTACTGCCAAATTTTCTCAATACAAAGAATTATTGAAAACGAAACATTTGGGTCACGTGATGATATATACTGACGTCATCACATCCACACAAACCATCGTGAATGGGTAAGGTAACAAGCTAAATTCGTGGTCTTAGTATTGCTCCAGTCTGAGTTTTCCCTTTGATACTGCAGTTAGTTTGAGGGAATTTTCAGATCATACATAGTTTTAACATGATATCTTTCTAAAAATATTACATGTTTGTTTATTTAACCATTTTTCCCGCAAAAAGATTTTTTTCCCAGAAAAGAAACTTCGTTGTACTTATTAAAAAGGTGCAATGACTTTGTTTCTTCCTTCGTGTTTGAAGATATTTTATCTCGTACAACTGTAGTGATTACTTTCTTCCTGGACAAATACCATAGAAAACTTTTTACGAGACTTTCTACAACAACAAGAACTGTGGATGATCAAATGTACATACATACACCAATACGCATCGAAAAAGAATGGAAATTCTTTTGAACGTTCCTGAAGCCGAAAGAAAGCATGTTTTTTACAAAGGCCCTACGTTGTCTGTTTTGGAAGCTCGTTTTCGGTTATTTTCGAAATAAGTTAAGTTCAAAATATACGTACAACAACGTACTTGCATAAATTTATTTCAGAATTCTGAGATTACTGAAAGAATCACCTCGTGGTCTTGGAGTTGTTGTTATTGCAAGACAACAGACAGTTGGAAAAGGTTTGTAATATGTATTTTGATATTTTATTTTTTGTATCATTGCAACATCTCATTAGTTTCCTTTTTACTTACATTTTTTTGTATCTCTCAAAACCTATCCACCATTTATTGCTGTTCTGTGGGAAATAAATGTTTAGTGGGAATGATGTTTTTTTGTTTAGTGGGAATGATGTTTTTCTGTAGGTCGTGGAGGAAACGCTTGGCTATCTCCGGATGGTTGTCTTTCATTTTCATTTCCTTTGGAAATTGAACTTAATTCTAATCTTGGTCAACGTCTTCCATTTGTACAACATATCGCAGCCCTAGCCATTGTTGATGCTGTGAGGGACATATCTGGATATCAGGTGATTTATTTTTGTGTTTTTCATCTGATATGTTTGAACTAAATGCATGGAAATAAGGATCTGCTAGAGGATTTAAATTAAAAACTCAACATCAAATCTTTCCTAAAAAAGACGAGTAGCTAAATACGAATGTAAGTTTCAACATCAGATCATTCCTAATGAAGATAGTAAACTTGAGTATTTGAAGAGTCGAGTTTCAACAAGAAGATACTCCTGATGAAGATACTAAACTGGAGTATTTGAAGAGTCGAGTTTCAACAAGAAGATACTCCTAATAAAGATACTAAACTGGAGTATTTGAAGAGTCGAGTTTCAACAAGAAGATACTCCTGATGAAGATACTAGACTGGAGCATACGTATAAGGACTAAAGTTTCTGTATCAAATCATTCTCGGCAAAGAGACCTGACTGGAATATTCAAATTCATGGATTTAAGTTTGATAAAGGAAGTATAAACTGGAGTATTTGATAAACTGGAGTATTTGAAGAGTCGAGTTTCAACAACAAGATACTCCTAATAAAGATACTAAACTGGAGTATTTGAAGAGTCGAGTTTCAACAACAAGATACTTCTGATGAAAATACTAAACTGGAGTATTTGAAGAGTCGAGTTTCAACAACAAGATACTCCTGATGAAAATACTAAACTGGAGTATTTGAAGAGTCGAGTTTCAACAACAAGATACTTCTGATGAAAATACTAAACTGGAGTATTTGAAGAGTCGAGTTTTAACAACAAGATACTCCTGATGAAAATACTAAACTGGAGTATTTGAAGAGTCGAGTTTCAACAACAAGATACTCCGGATGAAAATACTAAACTGGAATATTTGAAGAGTCGAGTTTCAACAACAAGATACTCCTGATGAAAATACTAAACTGGAGTATTTGAAGAGTCGAGTTTTAACAACAAGATACTCCGGATGAAAATACTAAACTGGAGTATTTGAAGAGTCGAGTTTCAACAAGAAGATACTCCTGATGAAGATACTAGACTGGAGCATACGTATAAGGACTAAAGTTTCTGTATCAAATCATTCTCGGCAAAGAGACCTGACTGGAATATTCAAATTCATAGATTTAAGTTTGATAAAGGAAGTATAAACTGGAGTATTTGATAAACTGGAGTATTTGAAGAGTCGAGTTTCAACAACAAGATACTCCTAATAAAGATACTAAACTGGAGTATTTGAAGAGTCGAGTTTCAACAACAAGATACTCCTAATAAAGATACTAAACTGGAGTATTTGAAGAGTCGAGTTTCAACAACAAGATACTCCTGATGAAAATACTAAACTGGAGTATTTGAAGAGTCGAGTTTCAACAACAAGATACTTCTGATGAAAATACTAAACTGGAGTATTTGAAGAGTCGAGTTTTAACAACAAGATACTCCTGATGAAAATACTAAACTGGAGTATTTGAAGAGTCGAGTTTCAACAACAAGATACTTCTGATGAAAATACTAAACTGGAATATTTGAAGAGTCGAGTTTCAACAACAAGATACTCCTGATGAAAATACTAAACTGGAGTATTTGAAGAGTCGAGTTTTAACAACAAGATACTCCGGATGAAAATACTAAACTGGAGTATACGTATAAGGACTAAAGTTTCGGTATCAAATCATTCTCGACAAAGAGACCTGACTGGAATATTCAAATTCAGAGATTTAAGTTTGATAAAGGAAGATTTATTACTGAAATATAGATGGACCCAGCGCAAATATATGAAACTTGTCCATAAGGAACTAAAGACAGCATCATACTTTCAAATATATGAAACTTGTCCATAAGGAACTAAAGACGGCATCATAATTTCAATCGTGTTCTTAGGATTTAAATCTCCGAATCAAATGGCCCAATGACATCTATTTTTGAAATAAAACAAAAATTGGTGGTGCTCTGGTCAACTCTATTATTCAAGGAAGATGTCTTTGGGCTGTCATAGGTATTTTAACGTTTTGTTAGTTTTTTTTTTGTGTCCGATGTTAAAGTGTATATATAACACACAATATATTCTTGTCTCAACTAAAAGAAAACCCCTGTCTTAAAGGTGACTTTAAAGTTTAAAAGGTTTTGTCTTTCATTCTGTACGTTGAACACGTGTTGTTTTATGTGATGTTCAAAATGAGTTACATTTTGCAACAATTTATGAGTTTTTCCTCATCAGCAGTTTCTAAACTGAGAGTGAACGTAAAATTGAAAGCATGACATCGGTTTGAACGAGTTATGACTGCAGGCTAATCATGGAAAGAAATTGTGATATTTCATCGTTCTCTAAAAAAGTGTTTTTTTCAAATGCTAGGGACGTTTTTTATTCACAATTCTTTCCAAGACTCATAAAAACCTTTTTTCATACCAAACCATTTTACGTGTTGTGAAGCTCATTTTCTGTATAATGCTAACTTGTTCTAGTCGCGATCCTTTGCATACAACGTACCGTTAATGGTCTGAACAGTTGTAAATATGAGATCATTTGCATTATTTAGAAATCCATTATTTTTACATTGAGTGAACATCAAAATAATTTACTTGGCACCACCAAACTTGTTTGCTGGCTATTGAACAGTTGCCTGCACCCCCAACGATTTAATCTTTTGAAACTTTTCAATTTTAGGGATTGGAATAAATATTGACAACCATCAGCCAACAACTTGTATTAACGAAATCATCTAGCAACACAAGTTATCGAAAAAAAATCAGCAAAGAAGAGCTTCTTGCTAGAATTCTTAACAAAATGGAAGAACTCGTAGAAGACTTTCAGCTCAATGGACCCGAAATGTTTCTTCAAAAATACTACTCACGCTGGCTACACAGGTCAGTTTATGATTTTCTCTGACGACAAAAAACAGCTGAACTTTGTAAAGAATGAAAATTTTTTTGCCGAGCTAAGCTACAAAAATTGCAGTTTCTCACCAAAACGATTCTCCCGTTTTTTATGACCCCTCTCAGCATCAACAACAGTAGCGTAGTAAACCGAACCTTTTGCTCCAGATATGGAAAAATTGTTAGGTAGTTTCACTGATTATATGAACAAATGAAGAAATGATTAATGATAAGGTTCAATAATTTACAAAGTACGATTATATCTGTAAGCTGGCTACGCTACTGATTATCGCCAAAGACTATGGCTTAGTCGCTTTGCTCTTTAGAAGTTGAAAATTTGAAATCAACTTTGTAGGATCTTTAGCTGGCGTATCTTTAATCAGAAGAAGAAAAGCAACGAGGTCGTGATTACGTAACTAATTTTGCTTTTTCATTCCACTTTAGGGAGTCTAAAATAAAACTGGATAACGAAGATGATGAAATAGTTACAATCAAAGGTTTGGATGACATGGGTTTTCTCTGTGTAGTTAATGACTTGAATGAAGTTAATAAAGTGTACTGGGAAAGAGTTTCGTAAAAGAGTGGATGTGATGTTTCGTTGAAAGCCATTGTTCGTATTGTTAAGTTTGTATGCTCTGTCAATTAGTGTGCGTATAAGTCCGGTTTTGTATGAAAGCGGTGTGAAAATAGTTCGTCAGAAGTCCTGTGTATGTTGGTTTGTGATATGTAGATGTTGTACCGCTGTCATGGGATTTTGTTAGTAAAATGTCAAGAAATGGCAATTTACTCAAATTGTTGTTCAGTTTCAAATGAAAATGTAATGTTTGGGTGCTGTGTGTCGATGTAATTATAAAACATCATGGCCTCAGTTTCGTTAGTAAAAACACACAAAATATCGTCAACGTATCTGCGGTAAAAGAGTGGTTTAGTGTCGTTGTAGTTTAGCCAGTGTCGTTCATGTGAGCCCATGAAAATGTTAGCAAGTATGGGTGCTAAGGGAGAGCCCATAGCAACACCGTCCGTCTGGTCATAAAATTGTCCATAAAATAAAAATGCGTCTGTGCTGTTGCTATTAAAAACAGTTGTGTGAGGTCTGTCCTGTTTATACGGAACCTGGGGTTGTGAGTGAATATTAGGTCAATTGCTAGGTTGATGGTTTCAGTAAGTGGTATGTTAGTAAATAGGCTTTCAACGTCGTAGGAGATGAAGAATTCATGACAAGAAGTTGATGAGTTGAAAGATGAGAAGTCATGGAGGAAAGTGAAAGAATCTTTAGTGGAGTGGTCATCTGGTATGAGTGATTGTAGTTGTACGAGTTAATTGATGAAACTATCGATCCTAGTGGAGGCGATTGTTCTGGTTCTCGTTTCTTGTGAAGTTTCGGTAAGCCATAGAAGCGTGAGGGTTGAGAACCTCTAGGGAAGTTTCTATTATAAACTTTGTTGTTAATCGAGTCTTTCTTTAGAAGCTTCCTTAACAGTCGTTTTAGTTTGGCTTCACGTTCAAGTTTTTAAATTCACTATAATATTTAGTTTATACTACGCTCGGACGCTCCCCATTAATTTATCTTATTTCCTTTTATTGTTGTAATTTATGTACCATATTACTTTTATATAAACCCTGTATCACTTATTATTTCACTCATACCGAAGATGGCATCATGAGATGTCGAAACATGTCTATTTTAAAAAAACTTGTCGTGTATATTAAATGCGCATTAGTAATATTGCTTTTACGAAATGAGGAAGGGTAACTCATATTCAAATATGAATAATTCGCAGAAAACAATGGGTTTCATTGCAACATACATGAATTTGAATATCATGCATATATGAATACGAGCCTCCCCCACCCCCCAGAGTAATGATTTTGATCTTCTAAAGGTCATACCTATGTAGAAGACTTATGGACTATCTTGAAGACCAATAAAGTACTTTTGCTATTTTTTTGCAGATCATCTATGGACTACTTACATATAACAAACCCCCCATTGACTATTCACTGGTTTTACTGCAATCCATTGCACTTCCCTGCACACTGCACTAATGGTAGGTTGTATCTCATGGTAGGAATGATCACTGAAAACAGACTGCATCGTTGATGTGGATTCTGCAATCATAAAAGAAATTGGATGAGATAAATATAACGTGTAAATAATCATTCACAAGTTTTAACATTATTTTTGCTTGTAAAGCTGTGCTGGTTAATGCCCATATGTAATAAGAACAATGTCGACCAAGGATCTTGTAAAAACGCAGAAAGATGACTTCACAAGGGTTTGAAATGTACAATAAACTGATATTTAAGGATGAAGACATTTCCTCCCATACCACATGAAGAACCTTAGATTGAAAAATAAGCCAAATACAAATTTGAGACATTCACTACATGCAATGTCAAATTAATATGTAACAAGTTCTCACAAGACAAGGGTCTTAAAACAAATAGTATGAAAGTGTAAGTCAAAATTTGGCGAAGCTGTTCAGACACCTTATATCCTGAAAGAGTAACACAACAACTCTTACTTTTTTCAATAAAATCTTTGCCTTCAATACCAAATTTTCTATCATACACAACAAGACATTTTTTCATTGCTAACATGTTCCAATTGCTAACAAGTACAAAAATGTTGCTTGGCCTTTTCTTTTTATGCATTAAATGGCTCTTTTAAAAGCACTTTGCTGGGCTTTGATATTTATATTAAGAATTCAGTAACATCTATTTTACATACCTTTTTGAGGATCTAATTGTATATTGTTAGGCAAGGCTTCAACAAATTTCTTTCTACTTGCATCAAATGAGCAGCCTAATATCCAACTGTAGCCATCGAGCAATAGGTTGGGATATCGATGTAAAAATACAAATGAATTATCCTGAAAAAAAATACATGCAGATATTAGCATCAAAAAAAGAGTATTGAGTAACATTATTTAGTTGGGTGTATACCCAACATTGAAATTATGGAAATAAAATTTGACATCACCATAATTGTTCTTTTGTTTGCATTTTAATCATGAACAACAAAGGATTGTTGACGTAATACATTTGATGCAAAGTCAAACTGTAACAATAACCAATTATAGGGGCCAGTGGGTGACAAATGACTCTGAAAGAGCAAGTATATAGTAATTATTCATGTTCACAGTTTCAAAAATATCTATGGTAATATATTTTTATGTTTGTTGAGCACATCTCTACCAGATGTTAAGAAAGTTTTGCTACACAGTGTTTCATGCATAAGCAATCATCAAGCATATTGTCAATTTATAACACATTAAAAACATGACTAGTGGTAAACAGTATAAAGTATAACTGTATAAGTGAGAACTCCTTGAGTACGTTGACATGGTTGTTTGGATTCCTCTGTAAAAATAGAGATAGATTGCTTGGTAAAGATATCTTCAGAGTCCTACAAATCAAGACCATTATTTAATTTAAAATGTGTACAGACTCTTAATAAATGTTGAAATAATGTATGCCTTCTTTAAATTGCTTCGAAATGTTTCAGATTTTTCTAGTGAAAGCAGTCATACATATAGCCATTTCCAATGACTTTTCATGAGAAACAAGATCAATATGTACATTACAAACCTGTGTTTTGGTGGTTAACTCTTGGTGCTTGTCATAATTGTCAGCAATATCTTCACTTTGTTCATTTTACATGTAAATGAAAAAAACCATGAACATAGCATATTTGTACATAGTTTTACATAGCGTATATCTACATAGTTTTACAACATATGTAAACTTATCAAATCCCCAAATTCATTTTCTTGCGCAAAAAATTGAGAATCATATGACGCACTGCTATTCTATTAACATATATGACATTGTGATTAAAGGATATAGAGAATCCAGTCTTGAAACTGGAAAATGTCTTCAGAATAATTGTTTTTCCTTACACAACATTGTGGGCATAAATTTGTACACATACTTTTGTTAATATAACTGTGGTAATAAATATAAATTAATATGAATTTTTGCAACTAGAAACAATAAAAAGAACACTTAAAAATTCATAGCGCATCATCTTTTTGTGTGTCTTTCCTTTCCTCTCCACGTTATTGTAAAAGAATTCATTTGAGCGTCTGAATTTCTTCCTGAATTGATACATATTGCAAGTGTACCCAAAAAATAATACCCCGATTAATAATAACCAGTACTGTATGTGTTCTTGGATTAACAAAGTTAGCCTAGAATTAGTCTAAGTACCATTCTCTCAGCCCGACTTCTCTGATAGATATTTACTAAAGTACTGAGCATAGTACTGAGTGACTGAGCCCTTTTGATCGATTGCCTTGCTTTCAACTTTTGATGTTGCAAACTCCTAAAAAACATGAATACATTAAGAAATATTGTTCTCATACATGAACTTTGAAAAATGTACTAAATGAAAGCCCTAAAATTCCTTTCTTAAGCTGCACCAGTCAGATGGTTGTATTTGTGGTTGTACATGCCATTTTACGGAAGATACGAATAAATAATTTCATTGATGCACATCTTGTGCTGACATGACACTTATTAACACAAGTAATTTATCAATATGACATGACATGAAATGTGCTTACAACTTGTTAACATGACACAGTAATTGTCGCAAAACTTTATGGTAAGCTTGTGCTTTGAATGTATGTCACATGTCTATGGATGATAGCATTCTTTAAACCAACTGAAATGGTATAATAGTTAATTCATATTAGAACTTTAGAAGGTAGATCTATGAAACAGTAGAAAAAGATTATTTCTCATGGTTATAAGTTAGCTATTACTAATCATGCAAGTGAGTAAACTATGTAAGTAAAATGTACTTACAACCAATTATTGTGTACATCAAACATACTCTATACTGTTCAATGAATAATCAGTAATAGGATTTTTTTCACATGACTTTCTTCGTTGCTAATTTATTTGACTGTAGATAACCTTTGCTTGTCTCTGGGACAATATAATCAAGTAAATATTTCTTCTCGCCAGGCTTTCTCGATTGTTTAATTTCATCTTGACATGAATTTTGTACTTATGTTTCGCAGACCGGTGAGAAATGACGTCACATCATGGTGGATCTTCCAAATTAAGAGATCGATAAGGCAGTTCGTTCCTCGCCTTAGCACAATCATTGGATTTTCCCAATAACACATTGGATTATTTATCATTTCAAAATACTGACCTTTCTTCCATTATCACCAACAATTAATTTCATTAGTCTTTTCAAATATCATTGGTACGGTAGGGCTAAAAAATCAACAAGATGAATCAAAATTATGACACGTCACAGAATTTCAGTTATGCATACATTATGTGCAATAATTTTAATTTTATCTAACATGGCTTTCATAAAGAAGAATTTTTTTCCTCATTCATATAGTCATCTATCTATTTATCCTATTCCTAACAGTGATGATGACATAAAAACGTTTTGCTAGGTATGTCTTTAGAAATTTCGCCTACTTGGAGTGAATAGCTCGTTTCTTCACGTGATAGTACACGTGATTTTTTTCTTGTCTATAATTGTTAAACTTGTTGTAAGATAGACTATTTAAAACATTTGTTTGCGTCAAAAGTTCATAAAATGATAAAACTTTCCATCATGAACTGTCAAGTCCAAACGCTCTCAATTTTTAAGTATCTCTGATTACTGAGATGTGACAAAATTATTCAAAATTAGAGACTTCGAGATTAATTACTCTGAAATTCCCTTTTTAAATAAAGACTGCCCCTAAATCTTCAGCCCCACCAACTTTTACCTACGGATCAAAAGTTTACTAAACGACAAAACTTCCTTGACCATGTTTCAAAGTTGGAAAGTTGACAAATTTAGAGAAGCTCTATTTATCGATTTTCTTAGCTTCTTGAATTATAAATCTTTAATTTTTGAGCTATCTTACTTGTAAAAGGCTGGCTGCCCCTCTTCTTTTATGATTATTTCAGCTAGTTTGCATGTAAGTCAGGATGTTCAATAATTGAAATAAATTATAGTAAACTGTGAAAGGTTTATTGGCATAAAGCTTCCAAGTCAAAACATCTTTGTGTTTACTTCAGTCGTAGCTAAAATAAAAAATTTGCATTTCATATTTAATTGGGTATGAACGGAATTCAATATTTTGCAATAAAAACAGCAGGTGATTAAAATTGAACATTTAGTGAACATTCCAATTTCTTTATTATTAAGCTGAAGCAAGCACATCATGTAGTTGGTTGTGTCGTCTTTAAGGTTTCTGAATTTGTGAAGGTATGTTGATTTTAAATTCTACCTGTAATTGTTTGTTTTTATGTAATCTGTCACAAATGACTTATATAAATAATTACAGTACTATACGCATGTGTTTTAAGGACAAGACTTGTCAATTTTGATGAAATTTTTAATCAAACGGTAATTTATTTTGGACATTTTACCATTGGAAAGTACTGACCTTTCTCACATTAACATAAACTACACATTCCAAAAGTTTATTTTAGATATTATTTGTATGGAGAAGCTACAAATTGACAAGATGATTTAAAATAATGACACGTGAAAAAAGTTAGATATGCATGTCATTATGTGCAGTAAGTTTACTTTGTTGTAACATGGCTTTTATCAAGACGTGTACAACATTTTACTTCTTTCATTAATTTGCTACGTCTTATACACTTTACAAATCTTCTGTTAAACATATTCTGAATCGTCAACCAAAAACAGTCAATAAGATCTTAAAGATGGTTGGTTAATTTAAATGGCATATCAACGTACAACCATTATCATTATGGTGAATATAGGAGCAGAATATTTACATCGAAAGAGAGAATGAAGTTTATTTTTTAGATCTCTATATTTCGCCAATTTCGCCTTAGATAACTATGGAACAATTAGTTGCTACAGATTTGCATGATCACTTTCTTTGTGTCCTTTCTGTGTCTTTGTTGAAAGGCATTTTTGTCATGAATAACATTTGTTGATTTTGATGGGATTTTTTAAACAATCACAAATAAATTTTAGATAATCTAACTTTGGAAAACACTGAACTTTCCAGCATCATCGCTAGCAATACGATGTATTTAATCAAATATTCCAATCGTTCATTTCAAATATTATACATACAACTGGTCTAAAAAATCAACAGGATGTGTCATAATAATGACACGTCACAGAATTTCAGTTATTCATATCGTAAATGCGGAATGATTTTAATTTTATCTAACATGGCTTTTATCAAGAAGAATTTTTTTCCTCTTTCATATAGTCATCTATCTATTTATCTTATTCCTAACACAGATGATGACATAAAAACGTTTTGCGAGGTATGTCTTTAGAAATTGCGCCTACTTGGAGTGAAAAGCTCACTTTTTCACGTGATAGTACACGTGATTTTCTTCTGCTCTATAATTGTTAAACTTGTTGTAAGATAGACTATTTAAAACATTTGATTGCGTCAAAAGTTCACAAAACGATAAAACTTTCCATGATGAACTGTCAAGTCCAAAAGCTATCAATTTTGACGTATCTCTGATTGCTGAGATGTGACAAAATCATTCAAAATTAGAGACTTCGAAATTAATTACTCTGAAATTCCCTTTTTAAATAAAGACCGCCTCTAAAAACTTGAGCCCCCCAAACTTTTACTTGCTTCTTACGCCCCTGCTCAAATTACTTGTTTGTCCGGATCAAAAGTTTACAAAATGATAAAACTTCATTGACCACGTTTTAAAATTGGAACGCTGAAAATTTCAGAGAGGCTCTGTTTATCGATTTTCTTATCTTCCTAAATTATAAATCTTTAATTTTTGAGCTATCTTACTTTTAAAAGGATGGCTGCCCCGTTTTCCTTTATGATTATATCAGTTAATTTGCATGTAAGCCAGGATGTTCAATAATTGAAATAAATAATAGTAAATTGTGAAAGGTTTATTGGCATAAAGCTTCCAAGTCAAAAATTCTTTGTGTTTACTTCAGTCATAGCTAAAAAATATATTTGCATTTCATATTCTATTGGGTGTGAACTGAATTCAATATTTTACAATAAAAACAGCAGGTGATTAAAGTCAAGCACTTATTGAATATTTCAATTTCTTTATTATCAAGCAGAAGCAAAGCATCATGTAGTTGGATGTGTCGTCTTTAATGTTTCTGAATTTGTAAAGGTTTGTTAATTATAAAGTTTACCTAACATAGTGTCATTGTTTGTTCTTATGTCCAGAAATTTGTTATATTTGATTTTTGTGGGATTTTCCCAATAACACAATGGATAATTTATCAGTTCAAAATACTGACCTTTCTTGCATTATCACCAACTATTAATTTCAAATCTTTTCAAATATCATTGGAACGGCAGGGCTAAAAAATAAACAAGATGAATCAAATTTATGACACGTCACATAATTTCAGTTATGCATATCATTATGTGCAATAATTTTAATTTTATCTGACATGGCTTTTATCAAGAATTTTTTTCCTCATTCACATAGTCATCTATTTACTTATCTTATTCATAACACAGACGATCACATAAAAACGTTTTGCTAGGTATGTCTTCAGAAATTGCGCCTACTTGGAGTGAAAAGCTCACTCTTTCTCGTGATAGTACACGTGATTTTTTTCTGTGCTATAATTGTTCAACTTGTTGTATGATAAACTATTTAAAATATTTGTTTGCGTCAAAAGTTCACAAAATGATATCACTTTCCATGATGAACTGTTAAGTTCAAACGCTATTAATTTTGAAGTATCTCTGATTGCTGAGATGTGACAAAATTATTCAAAATTAGAGACTTCGAGATTAATTACTCT